TACAATTTTTCCAAAAATACTGAAAATGGCATTTTAAATGATTTTCTTGAACCCTTATTTAAATTGAAGATGATTTAGTTTTTTCTTGCATTAGGGTCCTTGAAATAATAAAAACAAAAAAAGTATTATTTCAAACATTTCAGCATCAGGTGTATACCCTTATCAGTAAAACCTTTGTTTACCTGCAATTCATTAAATAACAATATAACTGGGGTAATATACTCAGGGTTGGACACTTCGTTCTTCTTAAAATAAAAACACTAGCGCCATCTATGCACGGAGGTGGCGAAGCTTCTCGTAGTGAAACCTAACTTTTTGTGCCATTACATTTTTGGAGCATCAAAAGTAGCGTCTGCTGTGACGTCGGTGCATTTATAGGAACGAAAAAAGTTTTGTGAGCGATGTGATTAAACATAAAAAATGAATAAAGAAAACAAAAAATCGGCAAGGTAAGTTTATTGCATGTATTGTGCGATTCATGATTGAAGAAAAAATGAAGTGAAAAATCGAATCGCGAAACATGTTTGGTTATGGTTAGCACAATTCGAAAATGTTACTTCTACTTAGTGTTGGATACTTTGTTAATTATGAATTTGACACAATTTATAAATAAATATACAAATAAACAATGACGCACACACACAGCACATATTTTGCCAAAGATATTAGAAAAATAATAATGTTAAAAATAAAACTGAAATGAACTTAAAAATCGTTTTCAGTAACGTTATAAATGTTATTTTATTTTTTAACCATTATTCGCTTCGATTTTCACAAAGTGTCCAACCCTGAGTATAATGCCCAACCCTGAATAGATTTTTCTTTTTTTTAAATGATCAGAACTTTTTTAATTTTAGACCAATCAATTTACGATCTGTAGCAAAAGTGTTCCTATTTTGTACATCTTTCTAACAATATAACTCAATTGACTAAATTTATTTTTAAAAATTTATTAATTAATGAAATCTAAATTTAATATTTACTTAATTTTTTAAAATCTTTTCTTTTGCTTATACAAATTAAAATTTTCATATTCATATGGAAAACAAAGTTTTCATTAACCAACATAATAAGAATAATCATATAATTCGTATAATAAAAAATTATAAAATTAAATTAATTTATTAAACAAATAAATAAAGAACTCAACTCCCCTTACCCCCCTTATAAATAAGGATTTATTTTAATTCTATTGATATAATTCTTACAAATTTTGAAAAAAAGTTCCATTTTTCTTACATTTTTTACATATTTCCTACATTTCCTATATTTTATATTTCATTGAAAGAAAGGATGTTTTGTTTACAGTTTTAAAATATGAATTTAAAATTTTTTAAATAATAAAATTAACACTATATAAATATTATTGAGTTAAATAACTGAAAATATTACAACTATAGTATTTTTTTTTAAATTTACAAACTATAATCATAAAATTAACATTGATTAAATTTATTTGTTTTTATTATTATTTCAAGAACCCTAATGTCAAAAAAATTAAATCACCTTCAATAATGAAAATATTTCACAAAATTAAAATAGATATTAATAGAGCAAAATTTCAGATTTGTTTTCTGAAAGGAAAAGAAAAGAAAAATAAAAAAAAATAATAAAAGAATTCTCCTAAATTATCAAAATTAACAATGCTTAACCCACTTCAGCGTTGCGTCATAAGTCAAAGATAATTAACTGAAATTTTACATTGCGATCATCTTTTACAAAGAAGCAATTTAATTTTGAAAATGTAAGGAAAGTCCGAGAGGAAAGATGATCTTGAAACAGTTTAGATCATTCACGACGATTTTGCTCGCGAAGAGAGAGAGAGAGAATTATTTAATGTGTAGAAAAAGATGACTGGGAGAAAATCGTCTCGTAGTTTTCTACGGAAAGCAGTTGAAACCGTGGTCAGAAGTCACGATTTAGATTCCTGTATCCGGAGTAGGGATGCTAGGTACAGAAAGTCATATATAGGAGGGAGAGAAAGAGAGAAGTGGGGTGCAGAATGGGTGGTAGAATTTTCGCGTGTTCCTCGAGGTTTACGGAGACACTCGGGAAATTTATACATCGGCAATAGTAATCTCGCAAGGGTGAGAAGGAGTGAAGCGGGGGAAGAAGGGGAATGTGAAAAGGGTGGTTTAGAGGAAGAGAAGGCCAGATGCCCGGTGGTCCAGATCGATAGGGCATTAAAACGGGGACGAATAAGAGGGTTTGAGGTTCTGCTACTGCTACTATGCTTGCTGCAAACCCAACCAAAAGGGAACACCTTCCTGCAGCAAACTACAGCTCCGAATATCCTTCGCCATAAACGTGGTAAAGCCTCCTTTTACTCTGCCGTACATCTATCTACACAGTAGTGATTTACGTCGCGGATTTTTGGCGAAGGCCACACTATAAAAACGCCACCCCTTTATCCTGACACTCATCCAAAAAAAAACAAGGCTGTAAACTCTCTAATTCGGAAAAATTTTGTTTCACATCGAATCAAAATTGAAAATTGTTTTTCTATGTGCTTTAGGCTAAAAAATGTTTATTGTTCAAAAAAAAAAATGTTCAAAATTTTTTCTTTTCTTTAAGGTAGTATTACACTTTACACCGTGAAAAAATCGAATTTTTTTTTTTTGCATTTTCCTATTTCAAATCATTTTGGAAATATAATCGCAAAATATTAAATCAAAATTCGACGAAATAAAAAAGTTACAGAATAAAATGCAGTGCAGTGTGTTCACGCACACAGCGCCAGTTTTGCGTTTTTTATTTAAAGAAAAAAAGTATAATTTGTTTACTTAAAAATTTACAAAATTTTCTTATGCACCATTCGAAAGAGCGGTTCTTGGCACATAAGAAATGGCTATTGCAAACTTTTTTTATAGAGTTTAATTGCAAAAGTACAGCGTCAAAATTTGATAAAAATTTGTATATTTGGGAGTTAAAACTTTAAACGCGTTTTTCTCAAAACGATGTTTTTTAAACTGGCGGACAGCATAACTCGGGTTCAATTTATCAAGAAATAAGAAAAAAAATATCATTTTCTTCGTAATTAAAGCCTGCAGGCATTATGTTTAAAACCGATTATCTATTCCTTTTTGGTTTTTAGCTACGACCCAAAAACTGCCCAAAAAACCCTTTTTTTGCAAAATTTTTCGAATTCGCTGCTATTTTGGCATTTTTAAATATTTTTTATCGGGCAAGGCACAATTTTTTTAAATCCAATGCCTCTGAGAGGCTGCAGCTTGTCCGCCGATTGACCAAATTTTTTTTTGACTTTGATTTCAGTGCCCTTTGGTGACCAGAAAGATCAAATAAAAATTTTTTTTTAATTTTTTCTTGAAGAACTATTTGTCCATAATATTGTACAGAAGGTTTCTTTTCTTGAAATAAAGTAATCAAAGAGATTTGAAAATTGATATTTCTAAAATTATTAGACAAAGATTCTTTAAATATTTTTGAAAAATCTAATATTGTGTATAAAATTAAATATATATATATATATATGATTTTGTGGAAAAATATGTTATATATGGGAAAGACAAGAAGACCATTAAATATTAGAATGAAAGAACATAAAAGTAAAATAAATCTTAATATAAGAAAATATATTATTAGCAAACATTTTATAAAGAAAAGACAAATTCCAAACATTCTTTACCTATGGAATGTTATAAAAATTTTCCACAATGCATATTGATTATGGAAAACGATTACTAAAAAAACGTTTAACATAAAAAAATGAGAAAAAAAATCCATTAAATAAAAATTAAAATAGTTTTTAAATTCCTTTTTATAATGCCATTTAAGAGCTCATGTTTTCCTTACGAAAATGTTTATTATTATTTATTTGTTCTATTATCCCTATTGTTGCTTTTTTTTGTTGAATATTAGTCTATAAAGGGATAAATATGTTTAAAAATAAAGTTTAAAAAATTCCAGTTACCAATCAATAATTTTTTTTTTTTTAATGGCGAAAGCTGAAGAAACAAACTCAATTTAAATTTGCATTTCAATGCAATTAGTATTCTGTGGACTGTCAAAGCACCACAATAGATACTTTTACCTCTTTGAGTTAATAGTTTTTGCAATACTGCTGACTTTAATTTCTTCTCAATTCTTTTTTTTTATTTTCAACTACTTTAGCTCGATGATTAGAGAATTGTTCGTAAATACTAATAAATTGTCTCGTCAATAGAATTAAATTGTTATGATACTTTATAAGAGCCATAAAATATTAAAAAATATATTTATCAAAGTTATTACTAATTATAATAATATTTCTATATTGTACAAAAAATATAAAAATTTAACACTATTATTATCATATAATTAAACACAATTAGTCTAATTTTCAAATAGTTACAATTTCAATATTATTTGCAATTGTGACTAATTATAAAAGAATATTTTAAATTTAAAAAAAAATCGAAATTTAAAATTTAAGTATTCGAGAATGGAATGCTTAGAAGAATGATAAAAGATAAGGAAGATGAAATAAATGTCGAACGATACGAAGTGGTTCGAATCGCGAGTACATACACATAGGTATATATATATAAATATATTCTTCTCTTGACGAAGAAGATATCGATGGTATACGTCATGAAGACGATTCAAGTCAATCTCAGGATTTTTCAAAATGGAACTGGAATTCAAATGCGAGATTTAAGCACGTCGAACGTAAACGGCGGGACAATAGATATCCCGCGATGGCGTATGAAGTCGTCTGACTGAAATGCTATATATATATCGAAGCTTTTCCGAATGATATTCGTTTTAATATCGAGGACTGAATTGGGTTCATGGTTGGTTTGCAGTCTTCATAAAACCAAACTGGAAAGGTGACGGATTCTCAGAAAGCGGATCAACGCTTCAGGTTAAATGGGAAAACACGCTAGACCATTGTAATTTGATCATACAAAAAAAGTACCAAGACAATTTTGACGTTTTAAAATTACTTTCATAAAAAAAATTTTTTTTTAATTAAATAGAAAAAGTATTTAATGACTTACCGCTTTTTTAACAAACGAAACGAATCCATATCCTTTGGATTTCATAGTCTGTGCATCTCTAACTACTCTGCAATCCCTGAAACAAAAGAAACATTATTAACGCAACAATCTTTAATAATATCTATTTGTTTATTAATCACAGTCTCGATCTCAAAAATTGGTTAAATTATTTTTCAAAAAAAAACCAAGTATAGGGAATAGGGACTGAGTTAATTAAATTGAAATGAAAATTTAAAAAAAAAAACAAGTTTCCAAAGTAGAAATCGTAGGATGCTTTTGCTATATATATAGTTTTTCTTTTTGCGGTTACTTTTACGTAGTTGATCGCAATGTTTCTGTTTCTTTCGATTTTACCAACTTTAATGCGTTTACCTCGCATCAACGAATTCCCTCTTATCGAAGAAACCATTCGCTTACTTCCTTGCCTATTTCTAACTTTGTTGAGACGCGGCTTCGTTCACTATACACTCGTCAAATAAGAGGTTTTCGAAAGTCTCGCGTGGTTCAGTAGAACGTTTCCTAAATATCAAGTGCGGTCTATATACAACAAAATTTTATACATAAAAGTTGTAGTTTTTCCGAAACATTAAAAACTGCGGATAAACAAATGAAAAAAAGGAACAAATAATTCATTGTATTAGGAAATTAGGAAAAAGTTACTATCACAGAAAATTATAAGGTATTAAAATAAGCTGCAACGCTTATTTTAATGCCTTTTAATTTTCTGTGATTAGAGAAGATTGTTATTAATATTTAAAATTTATAATTTATTAAATTATTAATAAATAATGCTAATAATAAATTTTATATTAGAGAACATAAAAAAATTTTAAATTAGTAAACAAAAATTCAAAAGGTAAAAAAAAATATGCGAATGCCAAGTGTTAATTTTTGAAAGTGCAACTTCCAATTAAATTGCAGTGTTATTCGTTGGAACCAATCATTGGAGGGAAATTTTCCAATCTGAGCGCATAAATGGGTGTGAAGGATTGAGAGAGAAAGAGAGAGAGTGCATTTGAACCCGAAATTCGTTTGAATCGAGTCGACGCCTTTTTGGAGTGCGCTTGGCTACACACTACTTGTCATGTGACGTTGATACGTCGAGCATCGACTGACCCGTAAAACATTTGGAATTACGAAACGATAAAACGACGACTATATCTTCTCTCTTTCTCTCTCTACAATCCACCAAGAATACAGGCGACAAGAAGCCGTAGATGCATTGCTCCATCGTCAATTTATTCGCTCTGTGTGTGTACACACATACATGTTTATAACCAAAAGTCTATACATAGACAACATATGTGTGTGTGTTTCGACACTTTACGCGCGAGAGCCTAGTATAACACACAACGTTACGATCTCAGGACGCGGTGGCGAACAATTAACGGAGGTTTATGTCCCATCAAGAACCTCGAAAGCTTTCTTTAATCGCACCAAATGTATTGCTTTCTTTTCCTCTTTCTTGTCTTCCGGGCAAAGCAGACGATACTCGACATATAGTGCCACACTCGCTTGTATTACAATTTACCCGTTAAAACGCCATCTTTTGAATCACCTATCCATATAATCCTCCATTTCTGCTTTTATTACACCGCTTCAATATCCTACTACCTTTCTCTCTCTCTCTTTCCCTCTTCGAACCTCTCTAACCGTATTTTGTGATGATCCTTGTTTAATTAACTGATGCTGCAGAATATTGACGATGCCAAAAGTCGCATACAATATTAACTACTCTATCTTATCAAGAAAGTCCATTATTAATTTTGCATAAAGAGATTTTTGAGTTTGCCAAAGCTTTCGTGTGAATAATATATTCCCTCGAAACAATCATAATGTTGACATTTGAATTGATCGCAAATATTTTACATGGAGAACATTTTGTAAAGAATGTTTGTAAATTCGCGGGAAAATATTTATATAAAATATTTATCGTATATCGATAAAAGTATCTACCCCATGTCGATAAAATGTTACCGACCGCAATGTACGATGTAGTACCCGATCGCACCGCGCGAGCTATATCGTCGAGCTCTCTCGCAAGTGTCCTGGCTACCGATCGCCTATATAAGGTGCACTCCCGCAGAAAATCGGCAGACTTTAGTGTTAAGAGTATGTCCAACATGTGAAATGTAAACAAACATGAAATGTAAACAAACCATGCACATTTTTTCGCAGTTCTCATTTGCGTAGAAAATAAAAATTTGTCGTTTTCTTTATGAAAATGGTAAATTAATGTATTAAAGTTGGTTACTATACTTTATTTAACTAATTATATGAAGTAATAAGTATAATTATAATGAAATGAAAAGTGCACTGAATTAGCAATTTTTTCAAGGTTTCGAAAAAAAAACCATTTGAGTATATCTGAGGCACGGACGTTGAGCGTCTAGGTGGGAGAAGAATGTTGAGCCATTGGACGGTCACATCTTGGAAAGGGTAAAATTCTGAAATTTTACCCCTTCTCTCACTTTCTCCCACCTAGGTCCTCAACGTCCGTGCATCAGATATACTCGAATGCTTAAATTTTTCGTAACCTTGAGAAAATTGTTATTTCATTGTACTTTTCATTTCATTATAATTATACTTATTTGTTCACATAATTAGTTCAATAAAGTATAGTTACCTAGTCTAATATATAAATTTACCATTTTCACAAAGAAAACGACAAATTTTTATTTTCTACACAAATAAGAAGTGCGAAAAAAATGAGAAAATTGCTAATTCAGTGTACTTTTCATTTTATTATAATTATACTTATTTGTTCAGAAAAGTTGTTAAAAGAAGTATAGTAACCTAATATAATATATCAATTTACCATTTTCACAAAGAAAGTTACAAATTTTTATTTTCTATTCAAATGAGAACTGCGAAAAAATGGGTATGATTTGTTTAGATTTTGAACAGTTTTTTCGCAGTTCTCATTTGAATAGAAAATAAAAATTTGTAACTTTCTTTGTGAAAATGGTAAATTGATATATTATATTAGGTTACTATACTTCTTTTAACAACTTTTCTGAACAAATAAGTATAATTATAATAAAATGAAAAGTACACTGAATTAGCAATTTTCTCATTTTTTTCGCACTTCTTATTTGTGTAGAAAATAAAAATTTGTCGTTTTCTTTGTGAAAATGGTAAATTTATATATTAGACTAGGTAACTATACTTTATTGAACTAATTATGTGAACAAATAAGTATAATTATAATGAAATGAAAAGTACAATGAAATAACAATTTTCTCAAGGTTACGAAAAATTTAAGCATTCGAGTATATCTGATGCACGGACGTTGAGGACCTAGGTGGGAGAAAGTGAGAGAAGGGGTAAAATTTCAGAATTTTACCCTTTCCAAGATGTGACCGTCCAATGGCTCAACATTCTTCTCCCACCTAGACGCTCAACGTCCGTGCCTCAGATATACTCAAATGGTTTTTTTTTCGAAACCTTGAAAAAATTGCTAATTCAGTGCACTTTTCATTTCATTATAATTATACTTATTACTTCATATAATTAGTTAAATAAAGTATAGTAACCAACTTTAATACATTAATTTACCATTTTCATAAAGAAAACGACAAATTTTTATTTTCTACGCAAATGAGAACTGCGAAAAAATGTGCATGGTTTGTTTACATTTCATGTTTGTTTACATTTCACATGTTGGACTTGCCCGGAGTCGGCGAGTGACGAAAGAAAAAAGCGAATTAAGTATATCGAGCGCACGGACCGTTAAGAAAGGCCCCTTTATCACCACAGACTTGGAAGTTCTCCCCACCACTTCTCTGCTCTGTCGCAGAGATCCAGCATGCCCTCTCCACTTAACGGGCGGGCCAATCGCGTGCAAGTCGAATTCCCAGGTCGTGCATAAAAAGGACCGCTCCGGTTACGAATAGCACATTCGATTCGATGTCTCGGTTCGAGATAGACGGGAGCATTTCTCCTCTCAGAGTATATTGAGCATTTCTCGATATACTAGAAAGGTATTTATAACGTATGGAATTTATCTTTTTTTTTCTAAAAGAAAGTGTCGTTTTACGCTCTTTCTTCCGTGCATTTCACGGTGAAAAAAAAGTGCGAGTTTTTCCCGTCTAGAAGGATTCGTCGTTTCCTGGTCATGGCAGAGGATCATCGTTTCTTATTTCCTTTTGTCTTCATCGATGCATATCGCGTTTTCTTTTTGCTAATTATTTGTAACGTTACTTTTTTTAATCGCATATATTCACATACGTCGCGTCGTGAATACCGTCTAAAATTATACGTGCGTCGTTTTGCGTAGTAAAATTACGTTCTTTTCAAAATCCGCTTTTGAATATTTATTTATTATTTCTATTATGTTTAAAACTTGTTATACAGTTCTGCGTTTATTTATTATAAATAATAAATCAATACCTTTTTTTTTGTTACTTTAATGATTGTAATTTTATTTTATATGCACGAACCCTGATCCGACGAGCTAATCCAACACTTATTTTATCATTACATTCGTTACACTTTTTATTATTGTGTTCTAGTAGATCACACGTAGTTTGTTATAAACAAATTATGAATTAAAGCGATACCTTTTATTATTGATACTAGTATTTGTTACTCGGGGGTTTTCGGGGTCGCTTATTACATATCTGATGTTACTTTTTCAAAATTTAAAATGTCGGATCTAATATGGCGGACGACTTTTGAAAAAACTTAACGTATTCGTCTATAAATAGTCAACCGCAGAGATTTTCGGGGGTTCAAATTACGAATATACGCATACATAATATTCGTCCATGTTGGGTCCGCCGTTTTGAATTTTGAAAAACTGACATCAGATTCGTAATCAGACTTGAAGTTAAAGTATTTTACAGACCCTAAATAAGAAAAAAATGTGTCCATATTTTTTTAATTTTTGTCCTTTTTTTGTAGAATCACCCATATGTATTATTGCCACGTTATAAAATTTGCATTATTTATAAATCTTACTCCCCGTTAGTTTGAACGTTTTTAATCAATAAGTTTGATAATTAAAAAAGCACTTGTCTATTGAATGCATTGATGAGAGTCTCTTATAGATATAAATATATAAAGATATAACAG